AATAAGGTGCCATACAGAAAAGACTGTTTTCTTCAAGAAATATAACACAGGCATAGGTAGTATATTAAGTTTGCCTAAAATCTCCCAGGTTTCAGAAGCCTCAGAGTTTTCCACTTTTTAAAAAAAAATTCTAGTATTGCTAACATACTTCATTATTCATGGAGTCATAGAATTATTTGCGTTGGAAGGGATGCTTAAAAGTCACTTAGTCCAACTCCAATAAGGGGGGACACCACAGTAAAATCAGGATTCCCAGAGCACTGTGTAATCTGATCTTGAATGTCTCCAATGGCAGGATATCCACCAAAACTCTGGGCAACCTGTTCCAGTGCCTCACCACCTTTATTGTACAGGAAACTTCTTGTGTCCAATCTAAATCTCTCCTCTTTCAGTTTTAACCCATTTCTCCTTGCCCTTTAGCAACAGACTCTGCTAAAGCGTATGTTCCATTCCCACTTTCTGCCCCCCTCAGATACCGAAAGACTTCCATCAGGTCACCTCAGAGCCTTCTCCAAGATAACAGCCCCAACTCTCTCAGCCTGTCCTTGTAGGAGAGGTGTTCCATCTCTTGGATCATTTTTGTGGCCCTCCTCTGGATGCATTCCAACTGCTCAATGCCTTTCTTTCTGCCTTAAAAATCTCCAAGATTTCTAGCACTGCCTTTCACCTAGGGTAGACTGGGCCAGAAAGTATTCAAATGATTATTTGTGGTCAACTGATTTTGGTCAGCAACAAATGCCCAATTCCTTGTACATCCTGCCCCCCTCCGTTAGGATGGAGGAGAGAACTGGAAGGGCAAACATGAGTGGAGACTTGCCAATCGCCTTCCATAGGCAGAACAATGGTCAGCTAGTTTTCCAAGCAAAGTCTACTGTGGAGGAAAAAAAAAATAATAAACTGCCTCACAGTTTTGATTGCTGAGTATTAAGTCTTAAGACATGGAATATGTCTTTGGTCAGTTTGTGTCAGCAGTCCTGGCCAAATCCCACCTTCTTGGCCACCCCCAGATTACTCAGTGTGGAGTCAGAAGCAAATAAGGCTTTGATTCTCTGCAAGCACTGTAGGCTGCAACCCTATAGGTTACTATTAAGAAAATGAACCCCATCCCTACTAGATCTAGTATGTGGTTAAATGACGTATAAGAAAGTAGGTTTCACTGAGGTTGTGGTTAGTACCACCTCTAACACTACTGCAACATAAATTTTCAAATATTGTATAAATATATTGTATAAATACATATATCTTAGTTGATCTTTGGAGATGTTTATCCCTTGTCACTAAGGCCAGTTAGTTCTAGTGAGAACTAACTTCCACACTCAGGGGCACAGCTGAATACCTAAAAATTGACAGAGTGAGCCTGCACCCAAAAGCTGTGAATTTAACTTGATATTCTACAGAAAGACTATGTAAGTGTATATGGAAGGGACACATAACAATGTTGTGTATTACCTGTGATCCTGCATGTGGTAGCAGGTTCCATCTCAGGTATACTTAAGTTTTATAAGTCAAACAAAAAAGAAGTAAGGACATAACATTTACGAGGATGAAATATCATTACCAGTGCAGCATGGGATGGCAGAAAATGCTGTCCATGGATGTTGTCATGATGAGAGCTTAATGTCAGCAAAGAAATCAAAAAGCACTCTTAAATTACAGGTTAAATTGAACAACGGTTGTTGCATGCCTTCAATCAAAAGAAAATTGCTCTGCAGTTGCAAACTCATCCAAGTGTCTTCCCTTTCAGCCATGGTTTTATTCACCTTCAACTAATTATTCCTCATCCAGCAGCTGACATCCTGACCGCTGCCTTGCTGAGCTTTTCTCAGGTGGTGAATAAGAGCTCACGTAAATTGAGCACTCTCACCTACTCAGCCCTCTTCACTTCTTTCTCCCACTGCTGAAATATAACATACCTTAGTGAAACTGCCTTAGGTAGTTCCTCTTCTCTTTACTTCCTTTACTGCCATATCCTGGGACCATATTTTTCTATTTCCCAAACAGCTTAATTTCAGACCAGTTAAACAAATGTTTTGCAGCAACAATGCAGATTCAATTTTTATTAAAACGTTTGGATAATTTTAAACTTGTTTGAAATTTTTACTAGGAAAGGAAATCAAACTAAAGAATATGTTGCAAAGAGTTGAGGGAAGGGGATTGTTAAAGCCTGCATCTTGCAACTTTATATTGAGATTAAATATGTGATAAATGTGAGGTGTGGAAGTTGACATGCAGAATGAATACTGACTGACTACGTATGTAGTCAGAATTATATACAGAAGTGCCTATCCCCAACTAATATCTAGGCTGTATGGCTAAATCTCAATAACCTAAATTCTGCATTTGGGTTCTGCAAACCTTTACTCAGTTCTGCTCAGGAACAGAAAGGCAGTTGGAACAAGTGTGTCTAGGATGCATTTATTATGTATTTATGATTCTCCCACAGCAGGCAAGAAATAATGAGTTGGAAAGGAAATAAATTAGTATAGGTAAAATGGCAATCCATATGAGCAAGTAGACTCTCCTCAGCATTTTAATAAGGCAATACTATGAAAGACTTTTCAGTGGTGGCCTACATTCAATTACAAAGTGCTGCTGTTAAATGACATACTTTGATTGCAGCACTGTTAATACATATGAAGATTATATGCATATGTACATACACACAAACATGGATGTATCTCTTTAGATTAAGTAAAAATTTACATGATTTTATTAGGAATTGATAATGTTTTGAGAAGTCTGAAAATGCATCCTTTAATGGAAAATTCAACAGTAAATTAAGTTTAACTAACCAAGTGGTAAAGAGATGCACTAGCTTTCAGCTACTGTGGTATGATTCTTTGAAATACCATACATACATATACAAAATAAATAGGTATATTTTTATGTGATGTTTTGCAGCACAGTATGAGAGTTTGAGATCCTAGAGGAAAGTTGCACAGTGCACTGCTGCCCTCTGGCTGGAGCCTGAAAGAAGACTGAAGATTCACTTGTGTGGATGGTGTCAGCAGTTTGACATACAGGAGATATGTTAATTACTAAATTAAATTTTGTTTTCGTATCTTACAAAACCTGAAGCATAATTAGATGAATGCCACTTTCAAATTCGTGGTACTGTATGGAGGAATCCGTAGATTTTATGTAATTTTTCTGACACTATATCACAAAATAGATCAAGACAAATTGTAATTAGGGGTTACAAGATTCTACAAATACCCACTAGTTAAAAGCATGGTGGTGACTCCAAAGGTTTTCTAAATGTCAATCCTACTAATTCATTATCCTGTGGATGTTCACTTAATGAACTTAATTATTCACTTAATTATTAATTGTATTTATTAAAAAGCATAGCTAGCCTAGCAAATATTTATTTAACTTATTTTTGATTTGCCAACTACCATAATGGCTTTATCATGCTGATATTGTAAAAAGTCATCTTTAATACTTTAACTATTTTAAAAGCTTAGGAGTTTAGACCAATGTTCCTTGTAATTCTTCTGCATGGCATGGAACCAAAGCCTGGCTCAAACCAATATGTAGAAACAGTAGTCATGACATTACACAGTGTCAAAAGCAGTACCACTTTGTCAATGAATATGTAAGTACATAGTCTGATTAAAGCTGCAAAGATTAAAAGATGCTTTATTAATAACAGAAATTTCTCATGCAGAGCACCTGACTGTAGCATCCTGGGAAATGAGCACTACCTTATGCAAAGCTAGAGGTTTTAAATGTCATCATAATTTATTTTTTTTTCCAATTTAAAACACTGCACAAGTTTAAATTACCAAACTGTGGTGTTTGAGACATTGATCTTGGACCTGCAGAATAGTGAATGGTATTTCCAGACAATACTTCAAGTGATGAAATGTTAACAGCACATCACTCAATGGTTATTGATTTCAATTGAGCAGTATGAAGTGGTCATCTTTTCTCCTTGCCCTTCTGAAGCAAATGCATGAAAAATTGTTCAAGGATGCAAGCAACTTCAAAAAGTCGTAACTGCTTATTTTGAAAGAAATATTCTTGATGCTAGCCCACAGAGTTGGAATTATCTTATATTTTGTTACATTGAAAAATTCCATTTTTAGGAAACTAGTCCATTTTCTATTTCAAATAGTATTGTGACTGATTTAGGTATCTAAGTCACAAAATAACTGAAAGAACTTCTCTCAGTTTTACATGGTATTTCTGGATCTCTCTGGGAAAGGCAAGATCACTTATGTTTTATTTAATCTGCTTTATTTTATAGAAAAAATAATATGAAACATATATAGATCAGAAATATGATTTTGCAAACTCCTGTGTGGGAATGTGCTTCTATATCAGGATCAGCTTCTATACAAACTTCAAATTTGTGAAGATTATTACATTTACAGAAGTTTAACACATGTCCATAGCAATTTCTGGTACAGCTTTGTTTAGCCGGTGTGCCTGCTTTAATGTAAAAATCTTATCCTTTTAATATATAAGATTCATGTAGTGATGGTCATCAACACATCTTGCCAAGATGAAGAAGAAGGAATAGCTATTGAACTGTGCAACTGTTGGGACTAAACAAGAAGAAAGGTAAGAAAACATTATGATCAAAGAAAGTATTTCTGAGTTTTTCTGCCAAGATCTTGTGAAGAATGAGAAACAACCAGAAATAGAAGAAAGGACTTGGTAAATAAATATGTTCACAGAGCCCCTGAAGAGCTTTTTGTGCAGCAAAATAGAAGCTCTTTTCCATTTCACCTTCTCTTTTCTTCTTTCTAACAGCAGGCCTGTTCACTTAAAATGAAAACTAGTATTCTAAAAGCCTATCAATATCTTTTCATGAGTATCATTTTTCTACTTTGCAGAATGTACAGACTATAAAATGAAATTGCCATTTACTCTTCAAAGAAGGAAATGCAATAAATAAAGCATGAAAACATTTTAAAATATATTTACTAATTTCAAGATATTTGTCTACAGTATATGTGTTTACACAGCATCAGTACAGAAGTGTGCTTCCTCTAAATAAAATACCCCAGGCATTTATTCCTTTCACTATCCATTTCTTCAGTTTCTAGTTCATAATGTTTCATGGCAATGAAATAATTGATGAAAGTTTCACCTAATGCTTCCTTAATGCATGAATCTTTTTCAAGTGCCACAAGAGCATCTTCTAGCTTCAGAGGGACGGATGAAGGTTTCAGACCAGATATGTGGTTTTCTTCCAGGGATGTATCATCATACCTAAGTCCCCTCTTTACTCCATCTAGACCTGCAGCAATAGTAGCCGCAAGTACCAAGTAGGGGTTTGCTGTAGCAGAACTTAATTTATTCTCTATGCGAGTGCCTTTTCCACCATGACATTTGACATTAAAGGCACAGCTGTTATCATTATATGCCCATTTTGCACTTACAGTCTCTTTTGATTCTTTGCTGTATTTGGAATAAGGCTTACGGCAGCTGGTGGTAGGAGCCATCAAGCAGCTAATAGCTGCTGAGTGTGCCAAGAGACCAGATAGCCAATTTTTTCCAATATCTGTGAGCTCCTCAGCTCCATAACCAGCAGAAAACAAATTCTTCTGCCCATTCAGATCCCACAGACTATGTGAGAGAGCACCTGAATTATAGAATCCTGATTCTGAGAAAAAGCTAGCTATGTAGCTATACTTCTTAGCCACCTCTTTAATGCCTGTTCTAAATGTGAAGGCACTGTCAGCAGCATCTATGCCAAATGCTGGATGAAAAGTGATCTCCATTTGTCCAGGCCCACTAGAAGAAGAAAAGCTTTCAATGTTGGCCCCAGTACAATACATTCCTTCAATGAGCTCCTGAATGAATGTCTGGTCATGGTTATTTAGTATCGTTGCTGCAGGAAAGGATATTGTCTTTGAATTTACAACCTCAGTAATGCCATAAATACAAAATTCATAAGTGAAGGCAGAGTGTAGAGAGAAGCCGTTGTCCTGAAGCTCTCTCAGCTGCTTCTTGGCAATGTGCCTAGGTGAGGTCATTAGAGGGTTGCCCAGTACAGTGAAGGAATCACATATCACTCTAGCTGTCTGCTCGGTCCAGGGTAGAATTCGAAATGTTGATAAATCAGGGTTCAGGATTATGTCACAATTAAAATTGGTTGCATTTATATAATCTATTTCATTATCCTTAGGATTCAGGGTCAGTTCAAGATAGCTTCTGGGCATGGCAACACCATGAATTGCTTTTTCCTAAACACAGAGCAGAATGACAAATTACAGAATGAGAAAATAACTGAATGGTATTTCTATGCAAGTAAAATTTATAAAAGTCTGATTTATAGCAAAAACAGTAGTATTTTTCATAAAAGAACACCTAAAGAACAGCAATCGTTAAAGTGGAAGACACTGACCAATAACTGTATCGCTATGAAGTGGGATAATCTTGTACAAAATTTGTATGAAAATTCTGGCATATCCTGATGATTGTTCTTTTAATTCCCATTAAGAGATGTAGAAAAAAATGTTCAAAACTTATTATTCCTTTTTCGTTTTCCCTTATTTTTTGTACAACTATGGGAATCATCAGTTATGTGCAAACTTTGCAGCCAAACTTTTCTTTATAGTTACTTTATAAGGCTTTAGCATTCTCTGAGCATTTGTTTTACAGAGAGCTAAGTGACCATAAAAGACTCATGATGAAAATCAGGCTGCCACTTTTCTTTAGATGAGATAACACTTGCCTCACCATTTTTCAAATGCAAAATTAAACCAAAAATTCTCACTTTCTGGTTTTATTGAGTTGGAGAAGAAAAAAGAACAATCAAACAAAAAACGAAACATACATAGCATTTTCAAGTGAGAAATTATTCAGTGCTCCCCTCTTAGGTAGCAAATGGGATAAACTCCTAGTTCTATCTTCTCTCTTTAAACAGAGAACTTCCACTTACATAGATGAAATGTAAATAGGACATCTCCAAGCAAGCGCCTGAACAACTTAAAACAAAACCACTGGATGATGAAAGCTGCAATTATGTGGCTGTCGAGAGAAAATTGGCTCACATTTACATTTTACCTTTATCCTTCCATGGGAAAGGGAACAGAGGATACAGAATGAACGTAAAAAAGGGAAAGCTCAGAGCTGATAAAATATTTCCTAACCAGGTGGAATACTGTTGAAATACTTAAAACTATAAATAATGGCTCTTCGAAAAATGAATGAATGAATCATCAGTACAGAAAATTCTGCTACTGAATCATATTTCTCACCTGATTGACTACTATAACATTTCTAATAGCTAAAGACATTTTAATTTACTCATTTTCTTTTTGTTAGTGGTTACAATTTTCTCATTGGATTTTATGATATCCAATAAATCTAAATCTTTATAATTGTGTAGAATTTGAAAAGATTAAGAGAAGAGTTTACTAGAAGTGCAAAGAGGAGAAACTACTGGCCCTATTTAGTTGGATTATCATTTTTGAGAAACCAAGGGATAGATGATTACAGTGATGAAAAAATGTCCACATTCTTTGGGAAGAATAACAAGTGAAAGAAGCAGATAATTTGTTCTAAGTTTGAGATTCTACTTGCACTAGGAAAAAAAAAAAAAAAATATATATATATATATATATATATATACATATATATAAAATATATAAAGGACAGAGCAATGAAAACACTAGGTGTACCTAGAAACCAAAACACTTACATGAAAAAAGCGAGAAGGAACATTCTTTGATCTTGACACACCATGGAGGTCTATTGATTCAAATCTGACGAATTGTATGCTGTCCCTGGCCATCTGCTGCTTAATAAATTCAATGTGAGAGAACAGGTGAAGGAGGCTTGGAATTCCGAGGCCGTTTATATCAGGTTCTCTGCTGGATGCTATAAGTGAAGAGAAATGTTCATATAAAAAAAAATAATGAACACTGCAATACAGGCTGTTCTAAAAAGTACAGCAGTGGCAAACTAGTGCAGAGTGTAAAAATAAAACTAAGAAAAATATACGGATCACACAACATTTCTGTAAATATACAGGTTTGTTGTTTTTTTCCTGAGAATCCATACAAAATCCTGTATTTTTAGGAACAGTCTGTAACTCGAATGTTTTTTCGATAAGAAAACACAGGGTATCAAGCACTGAAGCCAGGGATTTCTGAGGAATACCTCGGTGTGCTTATTGGGTGAGTTTAAGAGCACAAATAGCAACTGGATAATCTTTTCCCACTGAAAATTGATTTAATTCAGATTCTGTGTTCCTTTAAACTCTTTAAAAAGTGCACGGATAATGAAATATAATAAAAAGAATATTTATCTACTAAACCTGTTGTCATGGTTCTATGTTTTTTTTTTTGTTTGTTTGTTTTGTTTTGTTTTTATTTTGGTTTTCCGTATTCCACTTTTTTTCTTTAGAGACCTAAGAATAGTAACTTCTTTTCACAAACCTCTTGATCTCTGAGCCTGTTTTCTTTTGCATATCTATGTATTATTACTATTCAAGTTAAACTATATAAAATATTAATTTATATTTACTACCATAAACTAACTAAACCAAAGACAAAAAATATGATATCAATATTTTAAAATAAAATATTTCTTCCTTTGTAGGAGTAAAGTCCTCCATTCTTCCATGGAAACTGAGAATATGACTAGATGAATTTTTTAAAATCATTCAGACCAACAGTAAATCAGGAACAGCTACCACTTATCATCAGCCTTCAAGTGGAAGTCAGAAGTTACATCGCTGATAGAAGGAACACTCCTAATCTCACCAGTATCAAATTACCACAAATGGGGTAAAATTCCTTTATCAGAAGAATGCAGACAGATCTTTTTCATCTTTCCACTGGGACAGCTAGGACTACCAGCTACAAAGCTGCAAGGAGTCCAGCAAAATGGCCCAGCACAAAGCTGTCTGACCGTTCCTTCAGAAGGCAGCAAACTTCCACAGTCATAGACTTTGTGGAAGCTCTGAATGCTGCTGTACCAATCTTCAGCTCCAGATGGCAAGGAGGTTGCTAGGATACTAAAAAGTGAGGAGACATTAAGTAATAACATTGCTCCCTGAGGAATAAGTAACAAGTGAAAGCAAAAACAAAAGTTTAAGTAGATATAAAAGTCAAAGGAAAAACAGCATAAATCAAATAAGTAAAACCAAGAAGACAAAAATTGTCACAGACACCTTCTCTCTTTCCTGTCATCTGCTTCAGCTGTGAGCTGCTTATGGAAACAACTTTTTTCTCTGTCCTCAAAAGCACTGGGGCACTCTGTCCTTAAAGAGATATACATTGAATAAGGAAGTCCTGTACAATTTTGTGCAACTCACTCACACTGTTACAGATGCTCACAAGACACAACCAGTGAGCAGGGAATATATGTAAATTGACATTAATTTATGCATGTCATCCAGGAAACGAGGACTTGAATCCTACTTCAGTCATCCCATTTTGTTTTACAACATACAACAAATATTTACTGATAATTGGCAGATTTGATCTCCTTGTGAATCTGAGCATCGAGCAGCAGTCTATTAGCAGATAATAAACTGTGGCTACTGATCAGATGCATAGAGCTCAAAGAGATTCTGAGGATCTTCCTATGGATTACAAGTGGCATCTTCAGCTCCAGGGTAAGAAGCCTGAAGTTTTTGGCTGTATAAGTAATGCTAGAGCCTTTACTCTACAAGTGTAATTTCCTGTGCAAAGATGGTACATAATTCCCTTTCTCATTCAGGGTTTACAGTTCTGTCACAGGTAGGTCTTAATGTTTTCATATTACTCAAAGTAATATTTGACTGTCATCCTTGGATATAAGGCTTGCAGATATTTCTTACAAAGAAGAAAAGTTGCATTTATTACTTACATTTTCTGAGCACACATTTTTTCAGGAAAAAATCTCCACATAATTTATGAAAAACAACTTTAACCCAAACAATCCTGTAAATCAGTGTTCCTAGGATATAAATAACTTTATAATATAATAATTTATTTATAATATATAAATAACTATAGTAATTTCAAAGTGAAAAATAAGTGACATATGTTCATAATAATGATTAATTCATTTCAGAATGCAAAGCTACTGATATATGTTATTTAAATATCTAACAAGGTAAGCAATTTTTTTAAGTTATATGTGCATTGTCTGCAAGCTAAGGTTATTGTTATTTCAATAAATGCATTACTACTTAATTATATTATATGAAATGTCATAAATTAATACAAAAATTCTAAAGGTGATATGTGTTAAACAACATTAAGAAAACCAAAAGAATTAACTGAAGAAGTAAGAGTTGTATTTTCAGGTTTGACTTGCTATAATTAGTGATGGATCTTTTCAGATAATGAGGTTAAAATTAATATCAGTATTTTAATTTAAATTGGGCTAGACTAAGTCCTTGCAGCCTAGTGATGGAGAAAGTTTGGAAAAGAGTAGTTAGGAAACCAAGTACTTTGTCTTTTCCCAATTCATACAAACTTCATCTAGAGCATCACCTACTGTAGATAAGGTAGAAAACAAATAAATGTTAGGCAAACGTAGCAGACATAGATACACAATCTAACAGTCTTACACTCTCATGAGGGAGAACTGTGTTCGCAAGTGTAATTGTTTCCCTGGAACTTTAGAAATAAAGACATCTTCATTTTCAATTCATAAACTCTACTAACAGAAACATATATATTAGTTTCACAAAATGCTCAAATTTGGGTTCAGATTTTCATTTTAAAATTGATTTTTAAATCCAGACTGGACTTCTTTTATAAAGAAAATTTCTGCATGTATGTCATAGTTTCTAAATAGTTATATCAAATCAATAGTACACAGGAAAACATTTAATGTTTATTTCTCTGTTTTTCTATCTGTTCTATGGTTCTTTCTGCTTTTTCCATGTAAGTTACCACTGAGAAGCAATTGGTATCACTTGTGTTTGTTTTCTAATTACTACAAACTAGTTATTAATATATATCAATTATCTACACATATTTAAAAATATATATGAACAATGCAAAACTACAAATACTACTCCAAAAATCTATAACATATACAAATAATAATATAAATATGAGTGAGAGCACCATATGAAATGGAATGCAAAATTATTTAGGGAAAATAAACCTTTGCACAATGTTCAAGGTAGATTAAACTCTTCTTTAGTACATTGTAGAAGGAGAGGTAGCTGCAGAGAAATAGTAGAGAATCCATTTCAGTTATATTAGGTCTAAACTAAATATTCTGGCCACACTGCAGTGTTACTAGAAAGAAAATGGGTATCTCTACTAGTAAGGAAGAATTACTGTCTGAATATATCTTTTTTGCTCACAGCATTGCAGGATGACTGGCTTACCACCAGGTGAGTTGAATCTTACATAAAAGGGGACATAATGGAGAAGAAATATAGGATCTTATGTTGTACTGATCCAAGAAAAAAAAAAAGTATATCATAAAGTAAGAAATCATAAGTATAAAGCATACAGTCATACAGCAAGAAGAGATTTCAGCTATCAGTATGAAAGATAAAGGATTTAGGACTTCTGGTTTACTTTAAAGAAAAATATTTGGATTTTGAGCCTGTGAGGCAAATAAATAAATAAATAAATAAAATTAGCAAGGATTATATAGGTTAACTCAAAAGGAAAAGGAAAGAAAAAGGCAAAAAATATGATGGTTTGCTCAACAAAAAATAGGGACAATTGAGGTTTAGAAAGAAGCTGAGCTTCATCCCATGCTATGTCTGAGTTCAAAATGTAAAAAATGAAATGTAAAAAAATATATATTAACTGCAGATGGGGCATAAAGAATGTACATGATGGAATAGCATGGCTTTGTTTTTTCACTTTAGGTAAGCTCCAAGAACAGAATAGATTATATGAGGGCTGCTTGAAAGCAATGCCTCCTATTTTATTATGCTGGCCCATGATGGCAGAGGTGGATGTTGATGGTATGGCAGTAAAGGTTGAACTTTCCCACTAATATTCCACTATGCTTTGTTGCCATGGAACTGGTGGCAACACAGGGGCTGTCTGCCCCTAAATATCATTAATATTAGATATCTGAAAATGTGCTATATACGAGGAGTTGTATTTTAGGTATATTCAGTGTCAATTCATGCTTAGATCCAAGACTTTTGCTCAGGCCCTTCAGTAAATAAAATGTTTAGGATAGTATTTTATCAATGTCTTATCAAAATTAATTGATTAATTTATTATTAGGGCAAAGACTCATTCAAGATAGCAGAATTTTATCCAAAGCTTTCTTCTCTTCATTTAAGCTACTAAGCATATGCAATGAAGTTGTTTCAAAACCCATTTCTATTATTACTTCTACACAAAGATTGTACTTCCGTTTGCTAGAGGAAATATGAAATTGTACCCAACACTGTACAACTTGTTAAGTAAAAGTCAAGTGTAATCCAGAGCTCTGAGATTCCAAAATTTTTATTGTTGAGTTTGTTTTAGATAAGAAAAAACAGTTTTACCCCATCTCCCCTCAAAGTTAGCTTTCATATATATATCTCCTACAGTTGTTATCACCAGTGACAGAGAATAAGAATAAATCCAGGTTGCTTCCAGCATTTCAAATCAGCAAGGCAAATAATCTAAGCTAACATGTAGACTTCTTCTCCATTAGGTAGAAAGAGAAGCCAAACTCCAGAGGCCAATTTCTCAAAAACCTCTAACTACCTCTTTGAAGACAGAATTCCTACCTTTCTCTACTGAGAAAGAAATGAGCTTGGATTAGACACTTTAAGTGGCTAAAATCTGGATGAAATCTCCCTGTGGAATCTGCAATTAATCTCTTCAATTCCTTATAATTTTCAAATGGTGTCATAATGAAGAATAGTTATTCCTGTATTTTAAAATGTATTTTCTGGCTTCGAAGACAGTAAATGAGAAAACAGTGGTAATCTAAATTTGGCAATGAATTTTGCTAGCCTTTCAGCAGAACAGGAACAAAAAAATGACCTTCTAAGGTAACAACATGCAGAGCAGTCTAAGAAATAATCCTCTGAGCTGCATATTCTAAGAGAGAGAGGTTTGAATACAAAGTATTTTTTCAGATCTGTTAATTTCTCATTCAGTTCCATGAATTAGTTTTGATGTACAACCATTCACGGATATGTTGCCTGAATTTGTTCAAACTTGTTAACACAATATGTCAAAAACTGTTCTGTAGCTAACAAAATTAGGTATACGTTCAGATTCTTTATAGATTACCCACAGCCATGCTTCCACCATCTGAAAGCAGAACAAGACAGCAGGATAACTTAATATTATTGTGTATTAATATTCTCTTGCATTCTGTTGTATAGCTAATGATTGACAAAATATCTTATTAATGAAGATATTCATATTTCTTGTATCACTGAAATAGATCAGAGAGCATCATACATACCCTGAAAAACTTATAATATTATCTGATGCTCCCAGAAAGTTATTAAGCTGATATGTGCTCAACTGGCAATTTTCTATGGGTTTTATTGTCCTTCCTGGAATCGATACAAAGCAACTAATTGCTTAAGTTCATCACATTATTATAGCTTTAGCTTTCAATTTGTTGACCCAGCTAGTCTAGAAGTCTAGTTTTTACTATTCAAAGAAAACACAGCCTATTAGTAGCAATTAATTTACTCTATAAACACTTCCAAAATGAACTTATTGAACATCATGAAGAGGATTTTCAGCGTCGTTTTCTTTTTCATATTAGATATTTTGCATTCTAGGCCTCTAATAGGGCTAATAACTGAAAACACCTCTCTCACATAGGGCCTATTTTCTCTTCTGTAAATGTTAAAAAGGAAATTTTAAGAAGGCCAAGTAACTTCAGAGTTCTACACTGCCTAGCAGACCTTTGGGAAATGTTGCCTGTGCTCAGTTTAAATGAGGAAATGTCTCAGTTTTAGCGAATAAGACGTAACCACTTATGCATGGAACTCTTTGGCAGCTTGGCTTTGTAAAAGCCTTACTTAAATTTAAAAAAAAAAAATGCAGCATAGATGTAGGGTACAACTTCTGATCCATCCCTATCACACAAGTGTTGATTTTCTTCTGCTCTAGTTCTGACTAAATTTTGCAACATCACAAAACCACATGAAACAATAGAAACATATTCTTTAATAGTACAGCAGGTGATGGTTAAATATCCTTACCAGAGTTGCCTTCAGAAGAGTCAAACAGAATCTCAGGAGCAGAACTTTCGGCACTCATGGAAGTTTCTGGTTGTTTCAGGAATGGCTGATCCACCTCGCCTCCTGCTGGTTGTGGCTGGTCAGAACCTGCAGAGCTGAGGACCAGCAGAGGTTTGCTCTGGTGCCCTGCTTCCTCCTTGCGAAAATTGTGGTACTTTTGATTCTCTTTTCCAAAATGGAGACTAAGCATCTCAAATGGCCTGCCTGGTTTTTCAGCTCTTTTCTCCAAGGGCTTCAAGTTTTGTTGACTAACAGTGCCACTTGACCCGCCTCTGTAATTTGGCCCATGGGCAGGCAGAGGGCCTTCACTCAGAAGTTTTTTTAGCTCTTGTAGAGTTTGTTTAGAAATGCCAGGTGCAAAAGACACTGCAGTGTCACTCCCTCGTGTGGTTGCAGTGCTCTCCAGGGAACCCATCTTTGTCATATGAAACTTGCTGTTTTCTTCATCCATCCTGCCCCAGACCTCTTGTTTATGCTCTGTCTTCTCACTGTCCTCTTCTTCACACACTGTCTCTGTGCATTCAACTTTCTCTGTATTGCTGGTGGATTGTACAGCCATGGACAGCTTTGTTGTACCTGACGTTTCTGTCCCCTCCTGCATTTTTTCTATTGCTATTTTCCCACTGTCAGCATTTTCTGGGATGTCATATATTTCCCCAGACATGTCTTCTTTCACGTTGCTGCCAAAATGGGAACTGCCTCTGTCCCCTCTGTGGTTTTCTACCAAAGGAAAATTAGTCAGGTTTTGAAGAGAATGATGCAGTGGTGGTTCTGAAATAACAGTGGTTCCTTGAAGAGGATGACAATCTGGGATTTTTGAGGTGAGAGATGGCTCAATCTTCTCATTTTCTAATAGAGGAGACTGCTTTGTGGTACTTTTGATTCCCTTTTTCTTTCTGAAACTACATATATTGTTGCCATCAACTTCATCATTGCCAATTCCAGCTGTTTTCTGTAACCAGCAATAAAATATACAGCCAAATAATATGCATGAACGAAACAGAACAGAGAAAGGGAGTAATACCACCAGCTGCTTTTACTTTGTAGCACTTCCAGGACTTCTTGCTAATAGAGATCTCTGTGAATACTTAACTACACACAGATTAGACTATTTGGGTAAGATTTTCTTGCTGAATTCTTTTTCTTAATTTTAGAATAAAGCTGGTGAAAGTACCTTTATAATTTAATTTTCAGGCAGATTTAATAGATTGCAGTTAATGCACACAGTGTGACGCCATTTGTCAAGCAAATGTGCTCTTTAAATGTGAGGAAAAAAAAGTACTTGTAATGATCACACCTATGTTTATTCTTATGTATGTTAAAATAGTTTGTTTGTTGTTATTTTTTGATAGAGGAAGTGTATTGCCCTAAAACATGGAACAGTACCAATTCTTGTAAGTATGGGAAGTGAAAGCTGAAAATAAATTATTTTTAAATGAATTTTGCAATCTAATTTGGCTAAATAACCAAACTCCCATGGCAGTAGTCAAATGAGCAAATCCATGTTTAGATGCGTGAGCAGGAAAGAAATAAGAGATTTACTTTTTTTTTTTTTTTTTTTTTTTTTTTTTTTTTTATTTAAGTAATTTTTTTTTTGGTGAGATGGTTATTTTATAATAAAAAAAAAAAA